TATGAACATTTCCGAATAAGTAAAGTTAAGAAAAAGTTTGTTGTAAATCCGAAGAGATTTTGACTAAAATGTCCAAGTTTGTAAATGTGGCGAAGTACGCAAAAGTGGCGAATGCGAGCACCGAATATGGTCGTCGCATGAGGCATTTGTCGAATCGCATTTTCGGTGAAGTGACCCGACCCACAACCAGCCAATCAATGAAAGTCGTGCAAATGTTCAAAGAAGAGCCGCTTTATCTCCGAGACGAAGTCATCAACTATTATCCACGGCACATTGAAATGGGACAACTCATGGTAAATCTACGTGAATATGGTCTGTTCCGTGACGAACATGCCGATTTCAGAGAAGAAATGAAACGTTTGCGAGCACTTCGTGGTAAAGGTCCACCGCCGCGTAAAACGAAGGAAGAAGGCAAACGTTGGAAGAAAAAGCAGGAAAAATTGAAAGAAGCAGCGGCCGCTGCTGAAGCTGCTGCCAACTGAAAATCATTTTATCATACACTTGATTCATATTAAACCAAGACGTTAAATAAATGGATAGATCTTGTTGTAAATAAATACATTGAAATGATTGAATTGCCGTCTTTTTTTTATTTGAAATATTCTCAAATTTCTACAAACTAAGAATTCTTTTCAGCATAGGTATTTCAGACGCATTTTTGTCTTCTCAAAAAAAAGTATTAGATATTATCTTCAATGAAATCAAAAATTGATGGAAAATTACTTGTAAGACGTTGACTACCAAGTTGACACATGCGCACGCATTTTGATGTTTACACAAACACAACAATGACAGCTGTAGCTTCAATGGTGGTGTTTTATTATTGTTCAATAGAGCGCGAGGATTGTGTAAAATCGGTTCGACGATAAGGAGTCGAGTAAAATTGTAATTTGATATGTTTTTGATTCGGGTGCATGTGAAGTCAATCGTTAAGTGTATGGAATAACAATTTTGCTCTCAATCTCCGTAGTTTAGTTCTATTCTATCGCTGGCCTCGGCTAGTGTTTCTCTGTACCACCGACGACGACGACGACAACAACGACTACAAGTAAATACGAAGACGATTCTGACAACTTGTCGACTAGAATTCAACGCGACCTTGTAAAAGGATGTATACAATTTATTAGTGTACTATTAAAAATTTCATTCACTCATAGTTACCACAGTTTTGCGATCTTCGTAGATAATTGTATTTGAATCGTCTTCAAAAAAAAAATGCCACGAAGTAGAAAAGCCTTAACATATGTTAATACGTGGCTTGAAATTCTTGTCCGTGTTGTTATGGCAATTGCGTTTTAGTGAGTGTGATTTTTTTCCCTCTCATCATGCTCACCTATGACATCATCCAACATTTTTACTGAACAAAATCTTTGCGTTTTCTCACAGCCAACTAGAACGAGCTTCGCCATTCAAGCGAAAAATTCATCCCGATGAGATTTGGTTGTATCGCAATCCAAGAACAGATAGCTATGTTCCAACTGAAATTTTATGGCCATTTGTATTTGGCATTCCGTGCTGCATATTCTTAATTTATTTCCTCGTGACAAAGAATAAACTGGAGTTTATTCAAGCTAATTTATCAATTACATTGGCCCTGGGGCTTAATGGTATTTTCACCAATGTCTTAAAACTGTGTGTTGGTAAGGGATATAATGTTTGTTTATTATTTTAAGTATTGTGTGTGCTTCAGCCAAAAATGTTTTGAATTTGTAGGAAGGCCACGGCCAGATTTCTTCTGGAGATGTTTTCCCGACGGAGAGATGAATAATCAAATGGAGTGCACGGGCGATGAAGATGCCATCACGGACGGTCGCAAAAGTTTTCCCAGCGGACATTCATCATGTAAGAAAAATTCAAATAAACAACATTTACTGCGTTTCTCAACATCAACAATGATTCAACATTTACTCAGATGCTCGTTGTATGTTCTTTGTTTCTTTCAGTTTCGTTCGTTAGCATGTGTTTTGTTGCGCTATATTTGATGGGAAAGTTGCATGTGTTCAGTGAACGAGGCCGTGGCCAGTCGTGGCGTTTACTCTTATGCATCACACCCCTCTTCCTTGCTATGTTAGTAGCAGTCAGCCGAACATGTGACTATCATCACCATTGGCAAGATGTTACCGTCGGCTCGATTATTGGAATTATTATCGCATACCTGTGCTATCGGCAATACTATCCGGCACTTGATTCGAAAATGTCACATCGTTCCTATGCCGATATCAAAGTGCGTGATTTAAATGAGTTTACCAATCAAATGACTTCTTCATTACCACCTGAAACTAAAGCATTCCTCGAAGACGAAAAAGATTCCAAGTGGATTTGAATCTCATATTCATGTATATTTCCATTTATTCAATTTATTTCTCTGCGATAAGTTCAGTGTTTCTCGAAATTAAACCATATTTGATGTTGATGTTCATGTTCATAAACAACAGACTACTCATCTACTAGCTTGTATTAGTGCGAAATGCATGCCATGACCACTTGAAAAACACCTTTATTTGCTTTTTACCAAACGATTCCATTGATTGTATCTGAACAAATTGTAATTATTCGCGTAAATTTGATCAAAATAAATTGACACCTGGATGATGTGTTAATTTCAAACCACATATGTTCAGTAGCGATTAATCATCGCTGATAATTTCAATTAAATACAAACCGCAAACCAATTAAAGAACCAAAAGAGCAACACTCCATTGAGATGGAACTTTTTGATTGAATAGATAACTGTCTCAGAATGTGTGATATACAAATTTGTGTATTAATTTAAGAAATCCATTTTATTTTTGTAAAATTAGTTTACGCTTAAGATCTGAATAAAGAAAAATCTTTTCTTTGGAAAAAGAGCATTGAGTATTTTTTGAATATTTTTGATTTTGTAGGAAAATGGCGTAATCGAATTGAAGTTTGGTATCTCTAAAGCCGGAAACTGTCGAGAATTTTCATGTAATTGACTTCTTCGTTCCGGTTGGCCGAACTGTTGATGAATGCCTTGATCATTGTTGAAGCGCAAGCGATTTTCTTGTTACGTACATCGCTTTCGATTTCTTCAATTGTCATTTCACCCACCGATGAAACGGCGTCGCTGCAATGAACATGTGAATTTTGGTGAGATTTTTCAAACAATTTTGTTTTGAATAGAAAAAAAAATTCCAATGCTTTTGCTCACCTCTTCTTGGTTTGATTGCCGACTGAGCTGCCTGCTGCACTTTGAACGGTCATTGGATTCAAAAATCGCCGTAGAATTGCACAGTCCTTTGCATAACGTGCGACACATCGTCCATCGATTACTTTGAACGTTGATAAAAGTCCTCCATGAGCGGCTTGAGTCATTTCGAATGTTTTCATTGCAACCCGTTCTCCGTTCACCATGAAGTCGTAAACATCTGTGTAATGAGTTGTGATAAAGGAAACTGGGCACGCCCGTCCACGCCTGTCCAAATGACGTAAGCAAGCAATGAGCAGTGATTTGCCATCAGCTTCAGTAGTCCCTTGACCTAATTCATCGACCAAAATCAATGATTTGGAAGATGAATTCATGATGACATTGCTCATTTGCTGTAATTCCACCAAATACGCCGATTTACTCAAGTACAATGATTCGGGACCATGCATTCGAGTATAAATCGCATCAACTGTTGACATGATTGCTTCTGATGCTGGCACATACGATCCAACGTGGGCGAGGTATATAATCTGCGCCACGGCCTTCATATACACACTTTTCCCGGAAGCATTCGGTGCAATCAGAATGTTGATCAGATTCTTTTTCTCAATACTGATGGAAGTGTTGTTTGGTATACACTTTCGCTGTAGGCCAACTAACAAGTGTCGTCCATCCTGTATGGCAATAGCGAGATATATTGAATAAAATTAAATGAATGAAGAGTCTTTTTTGAGCAATTTTAGCCATACCTTAATTTCGAGAATTTTTTGTTCAGTAACCATTTCAGGTCGAACCAGATCGTATGTCAATGAGAATGATGCCATTGCCATCAAGCAATCGAGTTGGGCACAATAATTGATTGCGCGATGAATATCATAGAGTCGCTCGTAAACGTGTTCCATCAAACGGTCGCAAATCTCTTGCTCTCTTTCACGAATATCCACATACAAGTGGCCATACTTCTTGTTCATTTCGGTGCACAATGATGATGTGTAGTAGAATGAGTCTTGCAATTTATAGATGAATTTCAAATGGCCACTCTCTAGCATTTGGGGTGACACCAAGCCAGCCGATGGAAATACTATTTAAGAGACCAAATTTTATTTCGCAAAAAATTCATTTGTTCAATTTTTACCGGCCAAGTAATTACCAATTAAAAATCCCATTTCAGCCACAAAGTGGCATGTGGCTTCTTTGATCCCAGACGGAAATTGCTTGAGATCGTCTCCCATCAATGCTTGTAACTCATCTCGAGCCTTGAGAAATAGTGCTTTCTTTCCATCAAGATCGGTGTCCAACCCCGTTCGGATTGTGAAATTGCCGGTTGCAATCGACTCATCCAAATCAATTATGGTGTCAACGTGTTTCAGCATGTTGTACACCTCAGTGTTTTCGTTCACATATTTGCCATAGTCTTCGATAACTGTTTCGACGATGTCGGGTGTGTTTGATCGGAGCAATGCTTTGCAAATATCAGCAATATCATTTGCATAGTACAGTGACCGCTTGAATACTTTCCAAATACTCGGTTTGCCACGCGTACGAATCAATTTGGCGTAAAGTTCACCAGCGTTCACAATTTTCTTGAGAGAAGCACGAAATTTGGTCAAATTAACGGCGTTTTTTTCATTTCGACACCATTCAATCATACGATGCCGACGTCTTAGCTCCGTTACATCGCTCACTGGTTGAAACAGCCACACCTTTAGTTGATTACTACCCAAACGAGACACACAAGTGTTCATAACACCGTACAGAGACAATGCACCGTTATCCGTTGTAGGGGCACTACTTGCGCCTCTCTTGAATCCTGATGGATGATCTTTGTGTGCAAATACCTAAATGCGATTCATATCGAATGATCATGCGTTGAAAGAAAAAATGGATTTTCGGAGTAAAATAAAAATAAATTGTACCTGTAACGCACTGAATGTCGATTCATCAAGCAGAACAGTGCCATCGAGTTTGTAAACTTTCACATCGGAAACGAAGGGTCTTGTCTCTTCTCTCAAGAATAAATGCTTCCAATTGGCGTCCAAAAAATGTAGCAAATTGCCCAGGCTCTGCACGACCAGAGTTTGATGAAGTGGAACAACGGTTTCGATGAAATTGAAGCGTTGTTGCACCGTCATTGTGTTGGTCATTCGCGGCATGTGCATTTCGAGTATTCGTTTTCGATTCTCGGCCAATGTTTTCTCATTACTTGCGTACACCACGAAAGTGGCTGCGCTAAGTGTTTTCAAGCGGTTCAATCGATACTGATTGGGGTCCATTTTGTTTGGTAGGCCAAGTAGCTTCATTACGGCCGTCAAGAAAATTTCCGGTCCACTGGCCAACACATTTCGCATATTTGGCATGATGCGAAATAGATTTTGTAAGTGACAAAAATCCGGTCGTAAATCCACCATTTCGTATGTGATGAACAAATCCAACGATGAAACATTGTAATACGAAACACAAATATGTCCATCACACCAAATGAAAGAAGCAATAACTTGATCGATCGGCGTACCGAGCTCTTCTTCGATCTGCTGCTGCTGCTGCTGACTTACTACACTCATCTCTGATTCAATTAAACACTTCAAAACGACTTTTTCTTATCATTTACATCAAATTTATTTGAAACTTTCGTAGAATCGATTGAAAACGGTATTTTTACTTTTACTTTTTCTTCTTTTGCTTAAATCTATCGAGAGCACCTTGTTTGACACTCTTCTTATCGTCTGCTGCACTGACTTGATGTTCGTCGATGAGTTGCTTCTTAACGCCTTTGATTGTTTGTATAAACTGTTTCTTCGTTTGATCTCGTACGATTTTCTTCGCTTTAAACGCATTCACCGAGCCACCTTTTCCTTTCATCTTTTTGCGCTGTTTGAAATCGACTTGCGGTACTTTGAGGTACTGTAAGAAGGAGAAAAATAGCACGATTAGAACGTCATTGAGTAAAATGGCGTAGAATGTAGCATTTAATACGTACCAATAATGATTTCTTGGCTTCAATGTTTTCGTTAAGTGTGGGCACATCTACTTGTGTAATTACATTTGGATCGAGTTTGATCAGTTCGGGTGGAATCTTATCCAATAGAGCATGCACTTCGCTTTCTTTACGCTGTGATTTAGTCTGATATGGATTAGCTTCAAGAGCATCAAAGTTAGGCTCACCAGAACCGGGCACAATTAATGACGTGAATCCTTTGGCTGTGGCAACGCCTAATACATCTTCGAACGGACAGAATTGCATATTTCCAATTGTTCCATAGCATTTATGTCGCAAATATGGCGTTTTGACTGACACCATGTTCGGCTTACGATAAATTTCACACTGATTGCCAATGCCAAATGCAACTAAGCCACGTTGTGAAATAGCCAGTTCATTTGCCGGTGTTCGTAAAATGTAATCACAAATTGGTCCATTCAATGAACGAACATCCCAGATTTTAACATGCTTATCTAAACCGCTGGTCGCCATGAATGTTCCTCTCGGATCCACCGCCAACGCTGTCATCGGTGTGGAATGACATAACATTTTTGCCAGTGGTTCTCGGACAGTTGGTGCCCACATCGAAACCACACCTTTTGAATCACCGATGCACATTACACCGTTGTATGGATTCTGTGCCATCATTTGGATTGGACCCAATTTCGAATGATAATTTGCCACTAAATTACCCGTTGACACATCCAACCATGATAAATGTCCCTGATCACTGGCGCTCACAATCAAAAAGTGATACGGTAAAAATTCTAAGCGTCTAATTCGATTCAATGCTTTGACACAATGCACTTCGATGCCTTGATTATCGTAAAAATGCACCCAGTTTTTCTGTGCAACGGCAAACATTGTCTCGATATGAAGCCATGACACATCGGTAATTTCTTCCATAACATTGAATTCACAGTGTAATTTCTTTGTAATCCAATCGAATGCAGCCACATGACCTTTACGTCCACCGATCAACAAATGACGACCATTCTTTGTGTATCGCATGCGATACGGGCCAAAGTCTAAGTTTAGATTAAAATGCTTCGATGCAGCAGATATATCGACATTATCCACGATTTCTTTCTGTGTGTATTCGGCCGTGCTAACGCCATCCTCCGCTTCGATAAAACCTTCTTCTTCATTGAGCAGCAGTTCAGCTCGGGCCGCTTGTTCATTGGCAAAATCATAGTAAACTTCTTTACGCTGGAGTTTCTCTTTGAAATAATCGGTTTTTATTCCTTCGCCACTCGATTTACCGCCACCTTGAATACGACAAACGATACGATAATTATTCGCTTGAACGCAAAGAAAATTGTCTTTTATTCTACACACATTGAAACAAAGTACTTACGAGAATGTCGGTCTTTTGCATACGGATCAACTTCAAGCTTAACCAAACTCTTCTTTCGCTTTTGCTGGCCATGTCTTGCGTTCTCCGGCCACTTATTGTCCCATTTAGATTTTGCATAGAATTTTGCCTTTTCCTGCACTCGAATCACTTCACCTTTGAATGGAATCGCCTTCTTTTGGTTGTTCACCTTTATGTGCTCTACATCGTCTGACTTGGTTTTATTCACATCGCTGAAATATCGCACCGGTTTTTTCTCTGGCTTCTTCAATTTTTCGATTTCTTTACTCATTTTGGCTCGTTCATATGCACTGCATGCAGTTGAGCTATTTACTGTTGTAAACATGTGCTACTTGTGATAGACAGTGTTTATGTCAAAAGCAAATGTCAAACGGCTCGCAGACAGAGTGCGTTCAATGAAAGTTTCTCTGGAACATTAGACAACTTTGAAAAAATGTACACACGATGGCATTTTTCTCGTTTATTTTTATTTAATTAGAGATTTTGATTTGTACTCTTCTTAAACATTACTTTATATTCTATTTTGTTCATCATTGCTTTTTCAAAAAGCACAATAAATGAGAAACTTTCCAAACAAAAATTTATAATAACTGAATTTCAGACTCTTCGACTAACAAAAATAAACTCGATAATATCAAGTTGATATGAATATGGTGTTGATAAATGAATAACGAATAAAGATTATTTTCTTAAACAACAAAAATCAATGTGGAATTCCCTTCCCTTTTAGCATTTTCCCTTCTGACCTTTTACTATTTTGATTTCGGTTCGTTCAACGTGTTGTTATGTACTTAACTTATGATTTCAAGAAGATTAGAATGCGGTATTTCTTATTCAAATTTCGAAATGGCCATATGATTGCGTAATGTAATGTGCTACATCAAGTGATGGGCTATCAATCAGTATCTGCTTCGTCTTCGGAATCTGTAGCTGTGCGGTCACGTTCGCTGCCGCTGTCCTCCTCCTCCTCCTCTTCCTCTCTTCGCCCGAACTCTTCGTCTGTTTCATCATCAAACATGTCGAATTCATCGTCATCATCTTCATCATCATCTTCATCATCATCTTCATCATCATCGTCGGGTGTTGCCTGACGAGGGAAGATTGGATTGTGCATTCGATTCAACTCTTTCACGGTGAACCATTTCTCGTTTGGTCCCTTTGAAAGCGATTCCGCAACAGACAACTGATTGCCATCGCCATAAATTGTCAGATCAAGCTTGATGTTTTGGTCACGTTTTTGAATTGCGGTCAGCATATCTTGGTAGGTGTCGCTGTCCAAAACCAGTAGAGGTGAATCGATTTTCAGACAAGACAACCGGTTACCATAGCGAGCAATTCCTCTCAGACTGGATCGATTGATTTTTGCCAGTGTGTTGATGTGCAATTTCTCAAGCGATTTCAATTCTTTGACGAAACCCAGCAGGTGATGTTCAGTAAGTCCGGCCATTTCATTCAAACATAGCGTCTTGATTGTTTTCAGCTTGTGAATGTTTCCGTTTGTTTCGTCATCGATCCGACCATTGACAAGTTCCATGTGCTCAATCGGAATTTTATTTTTCGCGAAGCCTTCGAGTAAACCAGAAACGGTCATTTTGGTACAATTCAACTTCAGTACCTTCAGATTTCCCATTGATGCCAATTGCATTAAATCAGACTGAAATGCTTCATCCGATCGTCGAATGTAGTATTGGTGGAATTCTAATTCCTCGAGCTGCTTCAGTTGACCAATTGCAGCAAATACTTTCGTTGACACAAACTCACAGTTGACAATCGACAATCGCTTCAACGCTGGATTTTGGTTGACAAATTGCATCAACGAATCATCATCAAACGTTTCCATGTCTACAAATTCCACTTGCTCCAATTTAGGAAAATTTCGAGTGAAAACGTCACGTGGAGTGTCACCAGCTTCGATTTTCAGCATTTTAAGATGTTTCATTGCACCAAAATCATGGGTACTGAACGTACAGTTGTCAAGCACCAATGTCTCAACGTTTTGGAACAACGGTTTCAGCTTTCCAACAAGGCGCACGTTTGCCACGGTGAAATCTTCAAGCTTCAGCGTCTTCAAATTGGGGCAGTGTCGTTTGACCAACTCTAGCAAATCGTACGGTGTTCTGCTTGTTTGGACAAATAAATAGCACAACAAGTGCAACGATGTGATGAGATCGCCAAAGTTTGTCAGTATCTTCATCATCATTCTCAAATTCGGTGAGCCATCTTCAACGAGTGATGCGGTGGTGAAGTCAGAGTGCTTGATACGAAAGTGATAACGGGCTAAAATGCTGAGCCGACTGCATGCTGCTGCAATGTGACTCAGTGTGTTTGGGTCCATGTGCTCGAAAATAGTCAACAAACAATCGTCGTTGAGATGCATCAGTTTTTGAATGCGATATTTCGGTGGTTTTCGTCGGTGTTCGGAATCTGCGAGCGGTTTGACGATATCTTCCGGTTTGGAGTTACTTCTTAGTATGTACCGCGGTCGACTTGAAGTCGACGTCGATGGTGTTGCACCGGTTGATCGATTGGCCGAAGCAATCCGGGCACTGTAGCGCGTTCGCTTTGTTGGCGGTGGTCCGACGTCAGACATTTCGATTGGAATCACAAAATTGAACTGGAAATGAAGAAAATAATCATTAAATTTAGCCATTTATTTGGCAATAAACGCCTTTCGAATATGTTGTAGCAAAATTGATTTTTCGATGCCAGAAAATTAAAGTACAATTAAAAGTAATCAAACAAAACGTATCAAAAATGGCTAAATTTCTAATTTTTATGTTTATCGTATGTGATTTTCTTATATTCTAACCTTTTTGGATTCAGCTGATGTTTCTTGCACATAAAACAGAAGTTAGATGAGCGAGTTTGCGAACTTTGCGGTTATGTCACACCAAAATGCGTTTCTCATGAAAAGCATACAAATCACTGCCAATTTTTGGATTACTTCGACCTACAACTGGAAAAACGACAGTAAATTTCCATTATTCTGTTCAAAGCATCGAAAAGCGTCGCCTAGACGCTAGACAAGAACGAAAACACGAATCAAATCAAAGCCACACAATGAATTGCGATTGACACATGTCGATACTCACATTTTCCTAAGCGTTTCTCTAGGAACGGTTCTAATCTCGGTTCAAACAACAGCAAAAAATTACGCTATAATCACATACGGTTATTCACAATTTCAAAATGACATTACATATTCAAAATGAACAATTTCAACAACAAAAAACTGCACACAAATTTTCTATTCCGTCTGCAAAAATGCACGCTACATTGTCGACTGTTCGATTCGAATTGCGCGTCAAAATATCGCTGGCAACAACAATGTAAAAGCCAACCGCTTCGTCGTGAATGCTACGTTATATTGCGAATACAGTATACCGACAGAGATTCAAAATCTGTTGTTCGACTGTCAACGCGTATTAGT